TCTTATATTAAGTCAATATAAAGCTCTGTTGTTAATTTCCAGCTTGCAGCAGGTTAGAAACTCATTATATCGTCCATTTCCTTCCAAACTGTGCTAAAGGAGAATTTTTACTATAAAGAGACTTGAATGAATATGAGCCAGCAAGACTTTGCCTGGAAAGTCCCAAATGCTTTATGGGACAATATTAACAGGACTAGCCAGATACAAGAATCTGCCGTTGAAATAGAACTTTCAGAAAAGCAATACCAAGCATTATCCAAGAATCTAATTACATTTACTGTTTTTTAAAAAGTTTTCTTGAGTGTAAGCTAGAGTTTTTAAACCAGCAGGGGTAAATATAATTTGCATGGTGTGTACAAGTATGAGTGATCTGACTTGACATTTATCTCTGCGCCAAATGGTTCTGAGATGTCTTACTCCTCAAACTGAAAGAGATAATCCAAAATCTTTATATATTTACATAAAACACCACATAGAGCTATTGTCTTGAAAGTAGGATAGAACACATCCCATAAAAGGTGTGATATTTAAAAAGGGATGGGGGATGGGAGGGAAGCTTACAGTGATGCCTTCACCTCATTTTCAGCATCAACATTTTGTTGACAGCTTGCAATAAATAGTCATGACATAAATTAAGGGAGAAGCTGCCAAAGGACTTATCACATGCCAGCTTCTTCTTCAGTGTTGGGTAAAAAATTCCATATATCCAACAGTGAAATAAGGAAAGCAAACACAGTAGGCTTGCTTTCGAAAGGCGCTGTCATCCCAATGCATAGTCATCAAAACATGTTCATCCTTTTGTATCATTCCAATAGATAAGTGTGTATCCAGCTACCTAGATCACCTTTGTCAATGGAAATAGATTGCTCTGCCTTTTCGGCTCAGTATGTGTAGAAGTGAGTGGTATAACAGATATCCTGCTCTTCCTTGTTTGCTTATATTTCATACCAATGCCAGTGTATAAATTATTGTCGAACCTTTCCTTTCCCTTCCCATAAAGGGATCATCATTATGGTTTGTCAGCAACATTGATGGGGACATGTTGCTGGGACAAGCTTTTAAAAGACATTTCTCCTAATGCTATTGCTCTTAGATCCTTTAATGGTGACACTGTAATGTGCAAGTGTAAATAGAACCCAATAATAAGTTCTTTGCCAAATCCCATGTGTTGTTGCATGTTTTCAAATCATTTCAAATTTATGATAACTCTAAGACAAACCTATTACAGAGTTTTCTTGGCAATATTTGTTCAGAGTGGGGTTGATTTTACCTTTCTTTGTGACTTTTCCAGTAGCTCAATGGATTTCTCTGGCTGAATGGAGATTTAAACTCTAGACTCCCATCATCATAGACCCTACATTGCCATATAAAATCCAGATTATCAGCTTTGCACTGAATTATATGGCAATGTAGATCCATATAATCTAGTTCAAAGCAGACAATCTGGATTATCTACTTTGATAATCTGGATTGTATGGCAGTGTAGAAGGGGCCATAGTCCAGCACTCAAACCACTATGTCAGAATGGCCCCCACACTGAAACTGAGTTAAAAGGAATATAATTTCTCAATTCAAGATTAAAATAAGAGTGGATGCTCCTGGAACTAAACATTGTTCCTTTTTTCTGTGAAGTGCATGTGGAACTGCTGAAGTTTCCATCTAATGGGGGCATATTCCATTAACTCTCTACATTGATCCTCCCAGTAATGGACTTGACATAGGTCTGCAGCCAGGGAAATTAACTTTGCTTCCATACTACTCAACTTTAGAAACAAAGGACCTTTTCCCACCAGCATTATAGAATGGAGGCTATTGTCTGCCAATCATCCAAGTTGCTTCTGCAGATTACTGGGAAATCTTGGAATTCTCAGCTAGAGAGGTCCTTGGCATCCCTAAACTACATTTCCCAGAATTCTGTAGGAGCTGATAGGATGATCGGTCTCTGTTTTATAATGCTGGTGGGAAAATGTCTAAACACAGTTAACTAAAGTTTCAAAATCATGTTTATTTCAGCCATATTTAAATTTTTGTACATTTCATGGAAGTTAAATGCTGAGTATAGAACAGATTGCTCTAAAAATCTGAAAGTACATGGTCTACAAAGGGAAAATTACATTAAATGAATTATCCTTGGATGGTGCCCCCTCAAGGGTGAAGCAGAAAGGCTTCAGTGCCTATAGACGAACAGATAAGAATACATGTAATAGCTGTTCTAATGCTTGCTTAGAATTTAAGGAATTATGGTACTGTTCATAGGCTTGCTTCGTCCAATCTCAGACTGTGTTATTCTCCTTCAGGATAACAAAGACTTGCGAAGAGAACCAATTTCGAAGTGTGAATAATATTTACACCTCTGTTATTGCTCATTTTAAAAAGGAAGCTGATGAAAAACAGGGAAAGTTTCCGTAATAAAGATTTGATTGAAACTGCTGTTGTGATTTAAGTTGGTTTTTTTCTCTTAAAAAAAACCCAACTCCTTTAGAGCTTTAATTAAGAAGTTATCTTTGTCACTGCTTACTTCTGGCAAGATTAGTGGTTGAGTTCAAAGTAGCGTCACAAAACCTAGTTTGAAGAGCTTAGAGTTATTTAATCTGTTTTCTTACGGCTTTAAAACAAAATTGCCTTGGCCAAATGTAAACTAATTATTACATCTTTTTTATATAATAAGTGTTTTATGTAAATTTTAGTATGTTTGCTCAAGGTGTCAACTTGTACACATTGTGGCACACGTTGTAAGAGGCTGATAGATGTAAAAATTTGCTCTTTCCACAAATGGAACACTATCCCTTATGACCTGTAATAGAACACGGCAGTATATGGAAGGAAAGGTGATGAAAAAGGCTAATCACTTCTCTTGACCTCTGATTTACGGATTTGGTATCTTACTATTTTCTCTATTGAGTGGAAAACATTTTCAGCCGCTATCTTGCTCTGTGCAAGGGATACTTGGCTGCCTACATTTCATCATGGCAACATGATAAAAGTAGAAACAAACAATTAAATTTTAATACACTTACTTCCAACATAGGGAATGGGCTAATCCTTTGTATTATCCATCAAAAAGATTGTACAAAATATATGTATTAATTACATTTCTAGGGACTTCAGACTATAAAGTAATCCATCTGCACACCTTTTTTTCTTCTCTCCCCCTTAACTGTTGCTGCTGTTTATATAGAATTACAGTCCCTTCAAGAAGAAGACTGGTTTTACCTGCTTATATGTGCATCAGCATTTCGGTTCTCCATGCTCTTAGTTTGACCTTTTAATAATAAACCCTGAAATTACCTTTTAAAAAGCCACTGAAAAGTATAGATCTGATGAGTCCTGGAAGAACCTTAAACTGATATTTTAACTGCTGGCGGTATAGTTCATAGTAGTTTTCCATCTTGTTTCACCATGCAGATGGACACAGAAGTGCTAGGCTTTTTTCCATGTCAGGAGCGATTTGAGTACCTGTGAGTTGCTTCTGGTATGAGAGAATTGCCCAAGGGACATCTTGATGTTTTACCATCCTTGTGGGAGGCTTCTCTCATGTTCCCGCATTGGGAGTTGGAGCTGACAGAGGGAGCTCATCTGTGCTCTGCCTGGATTCAAAACTCCGAACTGTCAGTCTTCAGTCCTGCCGGAACACTGGTTTAACCCAGGGGTCCTCAAACCTTTTAAACAGAGGGCCAGGTCACGGTCCCTCAAACTGTTGGAGGACCGGAATATAATTTGAAAAAAAACACCCATGAATGAATTCCTATACATTCTGCACACATCGTATTTGTAGTGCAAAAAGCACTTAGAAACAATACAATAATTAAAATGAAGAACAATTTTAACAAATATAAACTTATTCATATTTCAATGGAAAGTGTGGGCCTGCTTTTAGCTGTTGAGATAGGATTGTTGTTGTTGTTGCTGTTGTTGTGTGTTTTCAAGTCATTTCAAACTTTGGTTGACCCTGAGCAAGAGCCAGGTAAATGACCTTGGAGGGCCATATCCAGCCCTGAACCTTAGTTTGAGGACCCCTGGTTTAACCCATTGCGCCACTGGGGGCTAAGTTCACTGCTAGTCTTTATGTATACAGTTTTCTGTTTTACCCGAGACAGTGTGCCACTTCCATGTGATGTGTATTTTCCAGCTAATGTTTGAGTATTTGCTGATTTTTCTTTGCCTTTTAAAATAATATGCAGTTTGACCTCATTGCCTATGAACTCAATATCAATGGTTTCTCTGGAAGTATTTGTGGGACTTTCTAGGAGTACATCTACACTGTAGTATTAATGCAGTTTGACACCACATAGATCCCTTCCTTGGGCACCGGTGCCCCATTCTATACTGTGCTGGTCAAAGACCGTAATAAATCATTGATTGATTGATCAGTGTTATGGGATCATAGGAAATATAGTTGAACAAGGCCTTTAGTCTTCTCTGCCAAAAAGTGCTGATGCCTCAACAAAACAAAAATTCCACAGCATTGAGTTAAAGTGGTGTCAAATTGCATTAGTTCTACAATGCAGATGCAGCCTATGTCCTCCAGTGCTATTCTATGGTGTGATTCTGGCTCAAGTATAGTCAAAATATAGGATTCACTATTACACATGGTTTCAGGTATCCACAGAGTGTCTTGGAACATATCCCCCACAGATATGGGGATTATATTGTACTGTATTAATCTTTTAGACCATTCCTGAATATTACAGAGTTTTGATACACATTCTAAAAGCATATTGGACATTTCAGAATGATATGGAACTTTCTCCAAAATGCAGCCTTACTCTTGCTAGTTATTTCCTCTGATTTATAGCCTACAACACCTGATATTCCTTGGGAGTATATTATACTCTCCTGTTTGTCTGTACTTAAGGTCTATTTCAGGAATATAAGTTGATGGTAGTCAAGTTTTTGGTTCATCAGCTATGAATGTTATATTCAATGCAGAATATTTTGTGCTGATGGGATGGAATGATTGTTTTTAAAGACCCTTTTTATTTTATTTTTTTCCCCTTCAGCCAACTTAGCTTTAGTGAAAGAAAATGACGACTGCATCTACTTTGCTGGAAACTCTCTTGGGCTTCAGCCAAAGAAAATCAAAATGTACTTGGATGAAGAACTTGACAAATGGGCTAAAATGTAAGTAGTGCCTATTGGTGTAGATAACTGAAAATGCTTTTTTGAGGGCTAGAAAAGCAATTTCTTTATCTGGAAGATGAGGTTCAGTAGGAGAATATTCTGTTAAAATGTGGAATTTGATACCACCAGTATGTTGATGACACCCATCTTTCCTTTGCCTTGTCATTGTAGTCACTTGGGTCTATCAAGATGTTGGATAAATGCCTGGTTGCTGTAATGGACTAGATGGGGGCCAGTAAAATGAAACTAATCCCTGACAAGTGGTGGATTTTAAAACTGATGGTTCCAGGGCAGAAAGAGATAGGTAATCTACCTTGAAAATAGTCATTCTTCCTAAAGGAGTAAACAAATATCATGAAAGAATTCCTGGATCCATCTCTCTGTCACTGGAAATCATATGGCAGCATGCCTGGTGTGAGTTTTGACCTGTTTGCTATCTACAGACTTTATGGGCCATCGGCATTCATCTACTGTGGAACTCACTTCCCTGGAGTGTGGTGGAAGTTCATTCTTTGGAGGCTTTTATGCAGAGGTTGGATGGCCATCTGTCAGGGGTGCTTTGATTGAGCATTTCCTGCATGGTAGGGGGTTAGACTAGGTGGTCCATATAGTCTCTTCCATCTCTATGGTTCTAATGTTTGGGACAGGGAGAGTAAGTAGGGAGAGCAGTTTTGGAGTCAACATGGCATAGTGGTTTGAGATAGGAATATGACTTTTTAAAACAGAGTCCAGATCCCTACCTGGCCATGGATGTCTACTAGGTTCCATCTGAACATTAGGAAGAACTTCCTGACTGTGAGAGCCGTTCAGCAGTGGAACTCTCTGCCCCAGAGTGTGGTGGAGGCTCCTTCTTTGGAAGCTTTTAAGCAGAGGCTGGATGGCCATTTGTCAGGGGTGATTTGAATGCAATATTCCTGCTTCTTGGCAGGGGGTTGGACTGGATGGCCCATGAGGTCTCTTCCAACTCTTTGATTCTATGATTCTATTCTATGATTCTAGGTGACCTTGGACAAATCACAAACTCTACACTGCTACACTGACAGAGTAATGTGGAATAAAGTAGCAGAGGAGAAGGCCAATCAAATGTGCACCTGATCACACATCCAGTGCAGGAAATGGACTATGACTGGGTAGTACTTATATGTACTGGAATATTCAGTTTTGTCCCAGTTCCATAATCTGGGACAGCTGTGAAGGATTTGGTTGTTTACCCAAGTACCCTGCCTCAATGCAAATGTGTGGATCACCAGAGTATCCATCCCTTAATTGATTTTACCATTCAATGTGGTTTACACCTACACACATTACAGCCCCTTTTGGAATAACTTGTGATTTTGCTTATCTCAGTTTTTAAGCTTCCAATGCACATCCATGTCTTTGAGATGCTTTCAATTCACATTAAGTGGTCAGTGTAGAGGTGCCCCAAGTCTCAGAAACCCCTGTGATAGGTTTGCTTTAGTGTCACCATAAGTTGGAAATTACCTTAAGACACACGACAACAACAACAGTTGTGTGAACTACATCATTTCTTCAGAGTCCAGAGCAATCCTGCAGCTATTCAGACAATACATTTCTTTAAAGTCAGATGTCTGTTTTCCAAGGAAGGTTACCATACCATAAACTATACTACTTTAAGGTATCTCTATGTGATGCTATTTCCAATGTTCAAAAGCAGATTTTTTTTTTAGATTACTACAAAGGAGGAATAGAAATCTCATGCCCCTCAGGTGTTGATCAGGCTATGCTGGTTGGAGCTGCTGGGACTTGCAGTCCAGCAACATGTGAAGGGCTTCATGATTCCCACCATTACAGAAGGGTAAATGAAGAAGTGAAAACATTTGAACTCTGATTAGCATTTGTCCCACTGTTGTTAATTTAGCAGAGCTCTGCAGTTTTGCCAGCCATTTAAAAAATTGCTATACTGTCCATTTTTTTCTACGATTATCATATTAGATCAAGGAAATGGCTGACTTCATTCAAAAGGTTAAAGTTAAATAGCTTCCTTCTTGATTTAAATGAGGCCTGGCTGAGTAGTATTTTATCTCACACAGCCTACTTTTGCATTGGCTCATTTTTCCACAACCGTGTTTGTGCTGCAGTACAGACAGTTGGGTCGGTTGCAGGAAGGGTGCTGAATCTTTTGTGGGTTTTATTCTGAACTTTAAAGGAGTAATCCAAAGTTATGGACCTCAATTGCAAGCAGAGTCAGTACTTTGGTTAAATCCTAGAGTGGACTTGCTGCCCCATTGACATCAACCACCAGCTACTTCTAGTCTTGGTAGTAAATGAAGAAATTTCAGGGTAACTGTCATGAGAACAAGAGTCACTGTATTCCAAGGCATTTGCTTTCAGCAAAAATAATGTGAGTTGAAACTACTGACCTATTTGCTAAAAGGCTATTGTCTCTCAACACAATAATCTAATTCTAGCATCCACAGAATGCTCTTCCAGCATCACATTTCAAATTAGTTGATCATACTTCTCTCAGTTTTCTTGACTGTTGTACAGAGAAATTGGAAATTCTATGGCATGGATGATTCTGACTGTGGCATTCAATGATATATCTTTGCACTTGAAGATTTTATCTAGCCTGACTATGGCATGATTAATGATGAATGATTGCACCATGGTATGGAAAATGTTTATTTTTAGGAGTTCATTACGCATTTTAAAGTTATATAAATTTTAGTGGTCATTATTTTTGCTTTGTTTTTTGGTTTTATGCAGCTGTAATCTAGCTTTTGTGATTTCTTTCTTGATTTTCATCAATAGATATTCCAAGCCTTTGCTATTTTTTGCTCTTAATATTGTATCCTCTGAATATTTTAAATTATTGATGTTTCTTCCACCCTTTAAGCCTAATCCTGCATTCCATTATATGTTTTGCTTATAAAAATACAGGGTGATAAAATGCATTATATGTTCTACTTATAAAAATACAGAGTGATAAAATGCAGCCATTAATGATCCTTTCTACTTTGATTCGTTCTTTTCAATTCTAGGCATCAATGATTACAAACATGTCCTGTTTTGGTGTGTGACCATTTTCTTTCTGGATGACTAGATAGAATGTTTCAATTCCTTTCTCTTCTGCTTGTTAAGATAACATAAATCTAAATTATAGTTACATTAAATTTTCCATTAAATAGTATTGATATTATTTAATCAAGCTTTGCATGACATATATATCTAAATAAAAAAAGTAAATGTCTTCCTGGGCATTGGTTCTTTAAGTGACAATTAGGTACCGAAAGCAGAAATAGCATGGAAAGAATAGGGATAGGTGTCTTCACTATAACAAGATGTTTTGGTGAAAGAAAACTAACAAGATAATGTATTGTCAAAGGCTTTCATGACCAGAATCACTGGGGTTTTGTGTGGTTTCTGGGCTATGGCTATGTTCTAGCAGCATTTTCTCCTGATGTTTTGCCTGAATCTGTGACTGGTGTCTTCAGAGGATCTGCTAGAACCTGGCCATACAGCTCGGAAACCACACAACACTCCACTAACAAAATATTGTGATTGATTTTACCCTTGTTGTAAACCGCGTTGAGTCGCCGGTTAGGCTGAGAAACTGCGGTATACAAGTAAAGTAAATAAATAATAAATAAATATGCATATGAAGGGAAACAACTAGGATAGGCATGCCTTGCACAAGTAAACAAACATTTTTGAATATTCCAGAGACCACTTGAAAGCTTCTTCCCAGTGAGGACTTTTCTTTCACTAGAATAAACCACTTCTCTTTACATTTCTGTTCTGGTAGTCACATTCCAAGAGAGATGCTTCTTCAGCATGATGGTGGAGAAGTTGGTAATGCAGGCTATCTTTACTACTATAGCAATATTATGCATGCTCATTAAGTGGTTTTGAAGACAGCTACTGTTACTTTGCCTGTTGTAAGCAAGCACACATAGCTACAGTAGAATTAGGTAAAGCAGATCCTCTAAGGAATCCTGGGAGTCGCCTTTTTGCAAGCTCTTGTGCTTACTCTTTCAAGGAATTACAACTCTCAGGATTCCATAACATGGAGCCAGGTCAGTTAAAGTGATGTCAAACTGTATATATACTAGCTTTCTTGCTGGAGCTTCTAATCTTTCTTTACTTTTGGAACTGCCGGTTCCTCTCTTTTCAGGTCATTAGACACTGAAAATGATGCATGTACCTTAAGGCCCTCCTTCACAGCCCTAAAACTCGAGCTAAAAACAGATTAGCCTAAGACATCCAGATGACATTTCAGGCTAATCTGTTTCAAACTGGAGTAAACTGAATTTACTCAGTTTCATCCAGGTTTTAAAAAATGCCTCTAAAGATCCAGACCTTTCCTGAATGTCTGGGTCTTTGGAGATATGGGGCCTATGAAAACAGACTCCTGGGATTACCTTCCATGATCCCAGTGCCTATTTTCAAAGCAATCCCTCCCCCCACCCAGGCTCAGGCAGCTTGGAGAAATAGATGGCACTGCCAGACTCCCTCCCTCCCCCATCTGTTTTCCTCTCAATTTACTGGAGAAAGACTCTGGTGCAGGCCTGAAGCCTTTTCCCCTCTCCCTTCTCCAACAGCCAACAGAGGCCCTTGGAGGAGGAATCCCCACTCACCTCCTCTCCTCTCCCCTCCCCAAAGCCCTCTTTTAGTTCTTTCAAGGGAGGGGAGAAAAGCTCCAAAGTAGAGGAGGAATGGAGGGCAGGGAGGGGGGGGGCTGGCAGTGCTCTTGCCCACCCGTGCTAATCCACCTTTGGTGACCCTACTAGAAGCCTAGAAACTTGACAGTCTCCTTCACATGTTAAAGTATTGAAAATAGGAAATCCATATGATGAAATATTTGGAGAAAAAGCATAACCCCTATGTTTTCCCTATTTTGATTAATTTATCAAAACCTTGGGGCTTATGTTGTCTCCAACTTGTTAGTCAATGCTGTTTTTATCAATGTCAATGACAACATTAACAATGACAACTAAAATAACTAAACTGAATTAGAGTGAATGATGAAAAATTCCAAC